GGGAGGGCGAGCGCACCGACACGATTCTAAGGTTAGAGGGGCGCCTCTTCCTCCGCGAAGGAATGCGCACGACCCGCGCCGCGAGAGGGGAGAGGGACGGGCGGGCTACTCGCGATGCGCGATCAATTCTCGCGAATTTTATTTCACCGCCGCCGCGCCGGGTACGCGGCGGCGGCGGCGGCAGCGGCAGTGACGGTGGTGGTGATGGTGGTGGTGGAGGTGGTGGAAGTGGTGATGATGGTGGTGGTTGGTGATGGTGGTGGTGGTGGTGGTGGTAGTGGTGGTGGTAGTGGTGGCGGCTGCTGCAGCTACGATCGCCGCTCATCATACCGCCTTCGACGTAACTTCGCATCGGTTTATAGCGAGCGACGCGCGCGCGACTCTAGAGAGATTTGTCAGATCTCATCGATCGCATCTGTGGCAGCGGCGAATGTACGCGGCGAGCTACGCCAACGTGACTGATAGTCTTTTTGAACTGGATAGATTGCAGATGATCGAGGAGGGGCAAGCGACGGACACGCTATTCGTTCGGCTTCCTGTTCGGGCTTTGCAAAATGTGTGTCTAATTCGGGATATGCGGTGTGCATTGATGATGATCTGAGAGACAGCCGGTTCTAGGTGAATTTTGCGGATATACAGCGATAAAGAAGCACCGAGTGCTCTGAAGCTTACAATGCGTTCTCTGGAATATGTACACACTGTATTGATCCTCACATCAGCGCGAACATAAATTAAAAAGGAGCAACCTATTGACAGAAACAAAAAACGGAATTTTGTTGACTGAAGAACGATTATGAAATTTTCATTTGTGCTTTGTGTGTGTGATAATGCTGTGCGACTAAAAAGTATCTTACTTACCTCATGAGAGCTTCACATTAAATAGTCGTTGATCATAAAACTTACGACGAACTCGTTCCCCATAATAAAGTGTCCTGCGACAATGTTTCGTTCGTCGGGGGATTGGTTATCGTGTTCTTTACGAACATTATCGCTGAATAGACAAATTGATCAAAAAAAAAAAGAAAAAGAGTGGTGGTATAAATATTAAAATAATATCGAATCCGGATATGTCGTTTAGATGTAGCGGAGATTGAGATATCGATCTCGCGGAACATGTGCCGACGAAGAAAATGTAATCGCGTATCAAAACTTAAAATATTTCTGGAATCGTCCCATTGAATGTCAAAATTTGTGTTTCGAATTTAAATTTTATGTTGGCAAAACTACCAACCTTTCATTTTTCATTCGAATTAATTTCCAAATAATGATTCGTCGCGCGTTTAAACGCGGATAGATGTAAAAATTTGAGCAAACGTCGTGCGACTTACCGCATATTTCACAACGGAACGGCGTGTCGTTCGTGTGCGAGCGCATGTGGTTAGCAAGGTGCTCTTTGCGCGTATACTTCTTGCCGCAGGCTGTACAATGATGAGGCGTTTCTCCTGTATGCCACATAACATGGTTCATAAAGTGTTCTTTGCGAGTAAAGCTCTTCTTGCAAATATCACATCGATGGGGAGTCTCACCAGTGTGTTTGCGAACGTGATTTACCATGTGTTCTTTTCGGGTAAATGTCTTCGAGCAGAATTGGCATCTGCAACACAATAGCATAATTTCTACCTGTTATCCTCGCGCCTGTTATTTAAAAGAAATAAATAAGAACCTTTCGAGATAACATTTCTAATGATAAATCTAATGGTTAACTTTATTTTTTCTTTTTATCTTAATTTACGACACATCAATGTACTAATTAATCTTTCATATTGCTGATGTATTCTTTTCCATCTTATTATTTTATTTACCTGTGTCATCCACTTTGGAAAATTATGCACGAGCAGACTCACCGATATGGTGTCTCGCCGGTGTGGCATCTCGTATGGTTATCCAAATGTTCTTTGCGTGCGAAGCTCTTGCCGCAGACCGTGCAATTGTACGGTTTGTCGGTGGCGTGTCTCTTCATATGACGCTCCAGCGAGGCCGCGTTCGCGAAGACATGAAAGCAAACTGTGCAGGTGAACATGGATCCACCCAAGTGGCACTTGCCGTGACGCGTTAGGTCGTTTGCGTTCGAGAACGCTTTGCCGCACACCTGGAAGAGAAATATTGCTCGTTCAATATACACATTCTGGACAAGTCGATCGCTCAAGACCTACAATTCGCTCGGAGCGCGCCACACACCTGACACGTGAACGGCTTTCTCTCCGTGTGGTATCTACGGTGTACAATCAGTTGATAACGAAATTGGAAGATCTTCCCGCATATTTCGCAGGAATGACTGCCGACCGACACGGGCGAAGCGCTCGGGCCGGGCGTCGCCTCGCCGTCGCTCGACTTGATGTCGAACTTGTTCAGCTGGACCTGTTGCACGATCGGCGTGCCGTTCTGTATCGTGGTAACTGTTTGTGTAGGTACAGTGCTACCTACTAATGTCGTCCCAGCAGCGATTTCACTCTGCAACTTGCCGAAAACCTCATGATACGCCAGTAACTGGTTAATGTCCTCGACATTGACCTGCAAAGAGAAAGAAAAGCACGTCAGATAGGATGTACGATTGTTGAATGCGATTGACCTGTTATGTATATAATATTCTATACCTTCTGTATGTAATGCGATCGATCTGTTCTGTATATAATATTCCATACCTTGTACATATTTTGCACCATCTCGACGCCGAGCGTTTTCGCCAAATCTTGCTCATTCCCGGCGCTAATCTTTACGACCGAGCCGTCCGCCGTTCTCACGTCCATCATGTGTCCACCTGGTTTCAAGTCAGGAACTTGGAATCTGAATCAGAAACATAGAATTGCATTAGTATCTTGTGTCGTGCGTTTTATTGCTATCTTTTGTTCGTAAGCAGTGTTTAGATAATCAAGATTTAGTATTTAGATAAATATACGAAAGAAAGAATATGGGCGCGTGAAATTTTTCAATCCACTACTGTTGCCTTATATATTTCTCTTATTCGGAAAAACCTACATCGTTTACGCTTGCGGCAATAACGTTAAACTTGCGCGACCTACAACACGGAACTGTGACGCGAAAAGGCGACACAGCAAATTCCATAGTCTAATTACAGACCGATGAATGTCAGACCATTACTGTTTAGTAAATATTTCATACCTATGAAAACAAAAATATTCTAGCGACACAAGTGACGCTTTTGTATATTAGAATTCGTCATGTGAGTGAAATATCCTCGAGTTTTACACACAAATCCAAAGCTACTGTTGATTCAACGATGAGACGAGGTGCTTCTGGAAACGTACTGTGTCATATTAAGTTGCCGCAATTCCTTCTCCTTCTCAGGCTTCTCAGAATTGTTCTGACTACCGCCCTCCGTATTGGAGTTACCGCTGATGTTCACTCCGATCTGCTGCTGCTGCTGTTGCTGCTGCTGTTGCTGTTGCTGCTGCTGCTGTTGCATCAAGCTCTGTTGAAGATCTTGCGGCGGTTGTAATTGCAGATCACATTGAACTTGACAGTGAACCTGATTGTCGCTGCAGCGCTCGGTGGTGCAGCTGCCACCCTCGTCCTTGACTTTGTTGTCGTCTCGCTGCGCACTCTGACTGTGTGCGGTCGGTCCATTGTTCTGGGCGTTTTGGTGATTCTGCATCTGATGATGGGAAGACTGCTGCTGCTGCTGCTGCTGTTGCTGCTGCTGCTGCGGTGGCGGCGGCTGCTGCTGTTGTTGCTGCTGGTGCAGCTGTTGCTGTTGCGCCTGCATTTGCTGTTGCATTTGTGCATGCGCGGCCTGCAAGTGACTAACGCTCGTCGGGATATGCGCGCCGTCTAAGTTCAGACCAGGTAGAGATACCGGTATCTGTCAAATAAAACACACGTACGATCAGTAATCCGCCGTTGTTCCACTTCGTGTCGTTCAACATAGTGCGAGGAATTGATAGCTCTTAAGACGAGATCAACAATCGTCCAGCTTGAAATCGTCTAAGAAAGTACAAGGGATCCCTTGAGCATTCATTTCCTCTCTATGTTTATCGTGAAAATGTATATTAAAAAAAAATCTAATCTGCATACGCAAAGTACAAGATAACAACGATAATTGAAGCAGTCCCCGTACACGGAATGGCAAACCGTGTACGGCAGAATCGCAAAATAAAATGCTCTATGTAAAGTCACGGCAAAAGCGAAAGTTCAAATTATAGATGGCAAGATTCGAGCAGTTTTTCGTAGGTAATGGTCGGTAACATAGTTGTCGCTATGTTATCTTAGTCTCTCACACATACAACATCGTATGAAGGTACCACATGTTGCCGCAATATGTCCTGCGACAGCGTGCGTATGCTCTAACTCTCCGGATCACAGTAGTGATCTCGAGTGATCAAGTCGCGTCGAATACGCGTTTACGCAAACACCGACAAAACGTGCCGCTACATTGACAAACCTGCGGATTCGAGGACAGGGAACTGTGATGGCTGCTGCTGCTAACCGAAGGTTGATGATGATGATGCGGCGCTGTCGACTGATGATGCGAGCTGGAAGTCAACGCCATTTCCTGGTTCAGTGAAGAGGCTGGCTCTTTGGAGGATGCCTCTCCACCTCCACCACTCCTATGCGAGGAGTTGTGGTGGGAATGGTGGTAGACCGAGACCTGAGGTAGCGGTCCGGGAAACAGATTGGTGAGGACCCAATACTTAGCTACCGAGGAGGCTAACGCTACGGCTGTACCTACACGCAGGTCCGCGGACGAATGAGGGGTACTCCCTACATTGCCAAGGCTGGTCGCGGTAGCCAAACCACCTGGGTATGAAGGACGACCACTTTGACCCGCGTTTACATCCTACCGATATACATTCAGACATTTGTACAACATTGATAGAGCATGCAGCGGCATGCACCAGGCCGAAATCCAATCGACAAATGCGCCACTTTCGGTACGGTATCTTCTCTCTAGGGCGAAGTTACGAAGAAGGCCGCGTGGTGTTCGTGTATATCGAGAGAGAGAGAGAGAGAGAGAGAGAGAGAGAGAGAGAGAGAGAGAGAGAGAGAGAGAGAGTGAGTGATATAGAGAGAGAGAGAGAGAGGGCACGTGCTACGATATTTGGTGTTCTGTGTTATATACAGTGAATGGTACTAAGAAGAAAGGCTCTATACAAACTGATGATGTACTCTGCTTTTAAGCTCATCTAAAAGTGTATGCCATCTGTTAGAGAATTCAATGTGTACGGATATATTATGTAAAAGAAGCAAAGTGTTAGAGAGAAAGAGTCACAAGAATAGTTTCAAGCGTAAGCTGTCTTACGTATATGCTGCAAGCATCTCTAAACTAAAAACTACAAATTGCAACAGTCAAAAGGACTAACTGAATTATAATATAAAGGAAGAAGGTACAATAATAACGCTATATTACAAGATAATCATAAGTAACGGAAGAGTATATAAAACTCAATGCAAAAAAAAGAAGTGTCCATCAAATATCGCACTTTGATCAGATGTTATTGAACAATTAGCACTGAAGTCTCACATATTAAAAATGTACACGCATACATGTAAAAAATCATAAATTTAATCCAGCATAGAACACACACAGGTGTCGTTGCAGACAAACTAAAGATAAAAGATAATCCAAGATGTTAAAGAAGCCCATTATACAAATGTCTCAATATATCTAACACTAGCACAACGCATCTGTGCGGTGGTCATTTGCGCATTTGTAGTTTGGTTTTGTAGCCTGTTTACGACTGGTGGGCGTCTTACCTCTTGTTGTGCCTGCGTAGTCGCTGGCAATGCATGCTGCTCACTATTCATCTTTGTTCACTGAAGGATATTAATTAAATGTTTCTCATATACTTCATTTCTCATCCTGCAAAAGACATTAAGACAAAATTAGTGTCGTTCATTGTTATCTCATGATGTGGATTCTTAATGCTACTATTGAGACCCAAAAGCAGGCAATGTCCCATTCCTAAAGCCTGATCTGCAATATGCTTCTTGCTTCCTGTCTCTTATTCTCCATCTTTTTCTGACTTAAGGCTTAAATTAGAAAGAGATAAAGAAGCAGAGTATTGTAGATCAGGCTTAACTTGGACGGCATAACCCCTTTGAGCGATCCATTAGCTCGTTATCAGTACGTCGCCTCTCGAACAATTGATACATTTTAATTTATACGTGCTTTTATCTCGTGCATATGGTACGCGACCGCGAATCCCAACGAGGGATAGACCAGTTCAAAAACGATAAACACTCGATAGACATCCGGGATGACGAAAACAATCGAGGAATCTCGCCGAACGCGGGGACGAGATCGGCCACGCGAGAGAAATCAGCGCGGCCGCTAATTAAATAACCGCGATACGCAGCAGCGTGCCGAGTCATCGCGACAGCTTTTGTTCAACAATATCGATTCGCGACATAACGAGCGCGCACCATATTGTTATCAGGAGACACTTCGTACGCATCGGCCCCGACGCTCGCGGCACTGATGTCCACGTGAACATCTGAAAAAGCGCGGTTCCGCGACCCGCGATTCCGCCCGATGTAACCTTACGCCGTCGCGGCGCACAACGACACGACGTTCGCGCGGTGGCGGCGGCTGTTGCGCCATTGAGGATCTACCGACTGGCGCGACCGTTCGTTTAACCTCGACGAGTCGACCGTGCCAGCAAGTCACGGCGACGAAACGATCGCTAATCGCGGAATTCGCGCAAAGTCACACATTCGCGGGAGCGAGCTGGCGGACGGGCAGGCGAACGCGCGAAAACAAAGATAGACGAAATGCGCCGAAAACGGATATTGTTTTAACCTCGCGCTGCTCTTCCTTCAGCGGGCATCTCACTCGTTCTCTTGCTCGTTCTCTTGCTCGCTCGCTCGCTCGCTCGCGCACTCGCTCGCGCGAAGAGAAGAGTGAGTCATCCGATACATGGGTACGATACAGCGCGACAAAGGCACGACCGCAAGCGGGTCATGACGGCGAGGAAGAAACGATCGGTCGCGTGCGAGAGGCGCGAGCGAGCAGTAGTAGCATCGACAACAGCATCAGCAACCGCCAGATATCGGCAACGAAAACCCGTTGTCGGGTACAGTAGTCCGACGTCGTATGACGCGTCATTGTGACTGTTCGCTGACTAACTGGCTGGTTGATTAGCTAAGCTGATTAGCTAGCCTGCTGGCTGGTCAGCTAGCTGACAGGCAGGCAAGCAAGCAGATGGATAGGTTGGTAGGTAGGTGAACTAGCTGGCTGTCTGTCTGTCTGTCGAACTAGTCGGTTGGTTGGTTCGTTCGCTCGCTTGCTCACTCGCTCGCTCGCTCTTTCGTTCGCGTGAGCAACGGGGACAAGGGGCCAACAAGATGGACGTGCCTTGTGGACTAGGGGCGAGGGGGATATGGACGCGCGGTGTGGCGCGGAGCGGCGCGTCGCGGCGCAGCGCGACCGTGTCTGCCTCCGCACCGCCAGGAATACGAAGTAACGAGCCGGGAAATACGATTGAGACTCACGTGGTGCACGGTGCCGTTGGCGGTTCTCGCATCCTCGTTTCTCGTCGGCTCCGTGGCCGCCTCCTCCTCGCCTTTGCGCCACACACAGCGGGACGGGGAGACGCTCTCGTCCCGTCTCGCACGGCGCGCGCGAGGGGGAGGGGGGATCAGGGGCGTGGGGGGGGAGGGCGGCGGACAGCAGGCCTGCCTCTCTCGCACCGTCGCTCGCGCTCACCGCCGCCTCTCTCGACGTCTCACCTCGCCACGGCCGCCCACAAGCAAATCACCGATAATGGCCACGCCGTCTCGTCCCGCGTCTCCTCGAGTACCGCGACGGGCGACCCGATCCGGCCGGGACGCGGTGCGCCGCTTTTTGGCCGTGTCCGACGTCAAGCCGCGCGACAATTTCACGGTAACGTCGCCGGCGAGGCGCGATACGTGCTCGCGGTTTCACAGAAAATACGACGACTGTCATGGCGTCCCTCGCCCACCCCGCAGGAACTTACGCGCGCGCGGGGGGCATCGCCGGGTCGGGCGCATCGGTGATCGGGTCGTCGGGTGGCTTTCACCCAGCGAACGGCTCGGCGACAGCGCGAAATTACTTGTCGCGCTCGTCTTCGCGCGAAATTACGCTCAGTTTGCTCGTATTTGGCCGCGAAACGCGACCGGTTGGCCGTTATCGTCGAGCTGAGGCTGCGCGCGCAGCCGACGGTCGCGCGCGCATGTTCGCGCGTTTCCGGTGGCGGGAAAACCGCGCGATTACGAAAGCGCGTTACTGCATCGCTCGCGGCTCCTCTCCTCTCACCTGCACCTTTTCGCATTTTTGCCACATTTGTTTCGAGCGAGCACGTACTGAGGATGTGTTGACGGAGAGAGGAAGAGCCAAGGATAACGATTACAGACGTGAGGTCGTGAGATATACGTATATCTGTAGAAAGTTATAAACAAATGCATCAGAGAGAATAACAGTTGCTTTTCTTATAATATAGGGAATAAGATTATATAGAAAGTAAAAACTGAAATTTTCATTAAATATTCAATTATCCAAATAATAGAAAGGAGATGTAATATTCCAAAGTTGCTTGGCTATTGATGTGATAAAATGATAACCCAGACAGCATACTACATGTCCAAGTGGGACATAAGATGTCTTTAAGATGTCTTTAAGTCGACTTTAAGACATCTGAACATAAGACGTTTTTAAGTTGTCTTAAAGATGTCTTAAAGACATCTTATGTCTCAGTTTTGGACATTGTGCTGTTTGGGAAATGTCTTTTGATAATCATTAATTTCCTATTCATAGAATTTATAAGTACTGTGTATTTAATAGTATTTATAATTGTTGTCGACTCAAAATCTAAGTTTGTATTAATAATAATAACACTTTTATTATTACAGGAAAAAAGATTAATATTATAGAGTATGCAAAAAGAAAACCATCAATAAGACAACTGAAGCTGCAAGTATTGATTTACCTAAGTGTAAGAAGATTTTAATCTAGAAAAACAAATTGTCATTATTTGAAACTTATCTCACATAAAGTTTTCAAATCTAATCTAAAGTTAGATTTCAATTGTTTATTTAAATTATAAAATATAATATATATATATATATATATTGATATACTGAAAAACTGACATCTAGCTCTAAATACAAATCTAAGACCTTTGTACATTAATAATTATTATCAGAAACAATGCTTCATATAAGATATACAGATTTTTATTTAGAGTTAAATCAAAGTACTTCTGAATTTACATCATTTATTTTCACACATACAGTTGTATGAAACCAAATAGAAAAACAGTGCAAACTATGAGACTACATTATGTTAGTATTCAGCAACCTCTTAATATTAAGGCCTTCATTATAAATTTTTGATAACATTGCCTCTAAATATGGCTTATAAGCTTCCTGATCAACTCATAAGAACATTGAAAGGCACTTCTATTAATAAAAGAAAGATTAGAAAGGATCTAATAAAGTTATTAATATTTTCTATTTACATACAAATTTATTTTTAGACATGAACATAAAACCACCACTGATAGATATACTACTATATAATACATCGTTGGCACTTTTTTAAATAATCAATAAATAACAAATATATATTGCGTATGTTATGAATATGTATTAGAAAATTCTAATAACTTTAGTGCATATGTTGAGATTGTCGGTCTTTGTTACATTTTGAAAGTAGCAACAATCAACTATTCATGAGCAGTAGTATTGTACACTTTAACATTTGGGCCCTTTTGCAGATAATTTAAAGCCAATTTGCAAAAGTCTTGTAGAACTGCGAAAATCACAATTACGATTATTTCTTACGACTTTCTCATAGTGAAATATAAGTTTAAACATTGACAAATAATTTGCCTGTATCTAGCGATGATTATTCTACTAGAAATACATGCTACTTGTGATCTAGCTTCAATATTAGCAGTTTTTTTTTTTTAATGCGTTGCTTATTGAACGGGACTGCTTAAATCAAAATAAACAACAAGGAAAACTAATATTTATCTAACAATTCTTGAAAATGGATAGAAACGCACCAATCAAAACAGAGTATTTACATCCAGCAAACAATCTAGCACGAAAATAAGCATCGTGTGTCGCTGGCTTTATTATATCTTTATTGAATTGTCTATTTATTATTTATTTATTTATCTATTTATTCTATTGCTGAATTGTCTCAATACAGAAAAAATTATTAGCTAGATACTATTTATATTCATTACTATCTCGATTTCTCGTTAAAGAAAGTGGCGACTTGTAGCGGAAACTTTGGAACTAATTACAAAATAGAAGGATTCAATCCACTAGGCACTATAAGCGCTTTGAAGCGCTTTAAAATGCGATTCTCTAGACGCTTCAGCGTTTGTAGCGTCTAGTGGATTGAATCTTTCTATTCTGTATTTAGTCCCAAAGTCTCCGCTACGAGCCGCCACTTTCCTTAACAAGGAATCGAGGTAGTAATATCTATATATAAACTGTATCTATAATAACCAAATCTTCCAGAAATAACAGGTGCAAGGAGATATTAGACCCGTTATTTTTGTAAGTTAGTTCCAAAATCTCCGCTACGAGGCGCCACTTTCTTTAATCGAGATAGTGGATATAAACAGTATCCAGCTAATAATTTTTTCTGTATTGTATTGAGACCATTCGTATTTTATTGTATTGAGAAAATTCGTATTTTATTGTATTGAGACAATTCGCAAAATTCTTAGAGAAGCCTGGAGCTAATTATTGAAGTTGAAGTTGAAACAATTCAGCAATAGAATAAATAGATAAATAAAAGGACAATTCAACAGAGATAGAATAAAGCCAGCGACACACGGTGCTTGTTTTGTGTTAGATTACTTGCTGGATGTAAATACTGTTTTGATTGATATGTTTCCATCCATTTTCAGAAATTGTTAGATAAATATTAATTTTCCTTGTTATTTATTTTGATTTAAACAGTTCCGTTCAATAAGCAACGCATTTTTCAAAATAAATGCTGCTAACACTGAATCCAGGTCGCAAGAAGTATGTATTGTTTCTAGCAGAATAATCACTGCCAGGTACAAGACAAATTATTTGTCAATGTTTAAACTTATATTTCACTACGAGAAAGTCGTAAGAAATAATCGTAATTGTGATTTTCACAGTTCTACAAGACTTTTGCAAATTGGCTTTGAATTATCTGCAGAAGGGCCCAAATGTTAAAGTGTAAAATGCTACTGCTCGTGAATAGTTGATTGTTGCTACTTTCAAAAGTGTTCAGACAACCTGAATATATGTACTATTAGAATTTTTTAAACGCACGGAATATACATTTGTTATTTGATTATTTAAAAATGCATCAATGATGTATCAGAGTAATATATCTATCAGTGATAGCTTTACGTTTAATGTCCAAAAATAAATTTGTATGTAAATAGAAAATAATAATCTTATTAGATCCTTTCTAATCTCACTTTTGTTAATAAAAGTGCCTTTCAATGTTCTTATGAGCCAATCAGGAAGCTTATAAGCCATATTTAGAGACTTATCAAGAATTTACAATGAAGGCCTTAATATTAAGAGGTTGAATAGTAACATAATGTAGTCTCATAGTTTACACTGTTTTTCTACTTGGTTTCATACAATTGTAAATACTTTTATATAGTGAAAGTACAAATATCAAGGCATAAAAAATACTATTATATAAAAAACAAAAAAGAATTTCTTGTAAATGAAAAATAATATGTTATAGGATTGTAAATATTTTTATAGAATGAAAGTATAAATATCAATATATGATAAGGCACCAAATATATAAAAAAATTTTATAAATAAATTATTTTATTTGCAAATTTTTTTATTCAGTATTTGGTACTTTTTCATATATTGACAGCATTTAAAAGTATTTATAATTCTCTGCAACGAAATATAAAAACAGTACAAACTAAAATTTACAGTACAATAAAAATTTACCTGATTGGTTCCATCAAAGTTCTCTTTTTACATATGTTAAATTTGAAATATCGGATGTGAAGTATCTTGAGATTACAGCGCAACTCTTAAACTTGTCTCATGTTTTCTGTAAAAGAAATCTAATTTCAAGCTTGTCGAAGAATTCATGATTGTAAGAATTTAATATTTATAAAACTTATAATAGAGCGCAGAGATATGTCTCATATATATGTACATTGAATCTTACTTCAATTGGATTAAGAGTTGCAATTAGATTGAGTCTCATTTTGATTGGATTAAGAACTTCAATCTTATTGTTTTCAGCTTTGATAAATATCAATATGTGGCATGAAGGAACAACACTGCACTGAATTCAGGCATTAGTGTGATATCAGTCAATAATGCAGCAACAAGTTGTGCAAATGGAACATACACAGAGGATATAAAAAACTGAAAGAAAGATTTCATTTACAGGTACATATATATTATATTCGATATCTTCTTACATTTATTACTAAAATATTAATCAGTATATTTACATCAATTTGTACAAGTGACCGCCTTGATCACACGTATGTATAATGACACGTCCAATTCGAATGTGTGTGTATGTATTTGCATTCATATATAAATAAAATAACAAAATCCGCTTCATTTGTGGTTGCACTTTGCTGTTAAGTTCACATTGCCACTATATCGCGGGTAGAATGTGAGCTTCACGGTGTGTGAATTGAGTATTGAGGCTTATCTACAATACGCAAAGTAAGCAAGAGAGCAAAATAAAAATAATTTATTTTGCTCACATTTTCCCTTTTCTCTCTCTATACTCTAGCTTCCTTGCGTCGTAAGTATTTCTCTCAAAAGGAATACTTCCAATGTGAAGGAGTTAGAGTATAGAGACACAAGTGAAATAAATTGTTTTTATTTCTTAATCCAATTTTTATTTCGAGTTTATTGCGCGTATTGTACAGAACAACCTCTACGGCTCGTGACACAATTCGCGAGGTAACATAATTTTTTGAGAAAGACCGTGAATTTCTTTCGAAAATAGATTCAGATCGAATAAATTATACGCGCGAGGAACGAATACGAAAAGTCGCGGAGACGCGCTTCGACATTTGGATGTGAACAAACGGAAACGTTGACTAGTACACTATAATATACACGTAGTAAATGTCGTTAACGATGTACAACGTAAGAGTTAAATAAAGACCAATATTTATACAAGGTTCTTACGATTATTTGGTATCGTCGCGATATATTATTTCTTTTTCTGTTTCTATTGCGCAGTGTACTCTCCAATACGTTCAAACCGAAGGTGTCATTCGTGAGATGACGCTGGCAGGCTAGAGGTCTGTGGAGTGCTTTCGGGGCAGAAATACAGTATCGTAAAAATTTCACGAGATTCTGTTAAAACACATCACGCCGTTCACGTTCGACGTTTCGTATAAAAAATTCGTTAGAACCAAATGAGAGGAAGGAAACGTCGATAGAGAGCTCGAGTTCGCGTATAGATTTTACAGACGGCAGATCTGCATGCGAGTATTATTATATCCCCTAGCGATTATCGGGAGATTGTAGAGGAAGATTGCTGAGAATTGCAAGAGGTACGAGAGACCGATTGTCTTATAAACGGCGATACTTTGGGACACGTGAGCGTACGTAATCTCTCTCTCTCTCCCTCGAGGAGTCTTACATTTGGATATGTTCTCTAATCAGTCATTGTGCGCGGGACAGTTCCGTTACAGTTCCGTGGTGATCTCGTCCTGCGGCCGGAAGCCGAGGATCGTGAAGTCGTCGATGAGGTAATCGCGCGCGGGTGACCAGTCCGACAGGATGGTGTAATTCGCCGCCTCAATGGTGCTCTGGAACTCCCACTGGGGATTCAGGTCGCGGTCCAGGCCGTCGTTGCACTCGTCGTGTAAGCCGCCGCCGCGGTTTGCAGCTCCAGCGGATTCCGGCAACTGCGCGCCGGAACCGACGTTGTAGGTATGATTGAACGCACTGATCGCCAGTTCCTGGAGGCGCGAATTGCCGGGACTCTTTGGCGCCCGCTTTTGGCTGCCGGCGTAGACCAACGGCGTCGTTTGACCGATTCTCTCGGAACCACTTGGACTGAGCTTCTCGTGATTGTACAGCACCGAACTGTTCTGACCCAAGCTCGAGCTAACGGGACTGTCCTTTGCGTAGCCGAGACTCGAGCTCGCCGGACTGATGCTCGACTTGTCGCTCGCCTGAAACGTGGCGAGCGGCACGTTCGCTTGGAATGTCGTGAGATTAGTGGGGGTGGTCCTCGGCTCGTACGGCTGGGGTGTCTGCGACGTCGCGACCGCCGGCTGCGACGGCGGTGGTATCATTTGGACGGGACTCGTCGGCTGCTGCAGGAACGTCACGAGCTGAGCCACCTTGAAGTCGAAAGAGTGCAATGAGCGTCGTCGTTGGAGGATTTGTCAAGACAACGTGTACGTAAACACAAATCAAATCGGCATTGTTGTTGAGAGAGGAAGGGAGCTTTCGACGCGGGAAACTACGGTCTAATATTATTTTTCTCGTTCCTTTTTTCTTCTATTTTTCCAACACAATAAACGCACAAATTATTCGGTTGCGGGAAATGCAAGGTGAGAGAACCGTTCGTATGCGTGGATCTGCTGCGCTACTACACGGTTTTGCATACAACTGGATGATGTGTAACTCACCAAAGTGCTTTAAGGACTGGCGTGAAAAAGAATCGAAAATGTAAGATAAGAAGCGTCATCGTTCTCATACACGACGACAGAGATATTCCGCGGGAAGTAAAAATTCTTACTTCTGGAGAACTGTGCCTCTTATATCTTCTCAGCAGCCGCTCTGCCCATGAAAATAGTCTTTGCCAGTCATCAGGCGGAAGCGGTATCTCGTCGTCTCTTCTGTTCACCAGGACCAATATCCTCGCCAGATCACGTAACACTGGTCTGCAACGACAATCACAAAGTAGTAAGGTAAACATGAAGGAGCCGACATGCGTCGCGTTAATGAACAATTGTAAACGATCGTAAGAATAAGTGTAATTTTCTTATCAGGCTAACAACCAACCAGCAAACCTCCACGTTACTGTACTCGCGTGTACCTGTACGCCTGGATTCCGACGGCTCCATCTCCGTTATTTCCCGAATAATACAATTCCCTGACTTGTCGTCTGGTGTCGTTGAGCATCGCGAGGAAGGTGTTGGCCTCTCCCCTGAGCGTCGCCAGGTGCTTCAGAAATTCTCTCCTCTCCGCACTGAAATCGTAAAAACGCACTGTTAACCAACGAAGACGGGACGAACAAGCTCGTCAGTCGAACGAACCTATCCTCGTATTGCTGCACCAGCTTTGCCGCTCTCTTCTTCCTCCGATGCACGACTATCGCGCCGCACACGATGATGAAGATGCAGATCGTGGCGCCGGAGACCACTCCCACCAGGATCGCGACCTGGCTACCGGTGAGGCCGAACATGTAGCCGGTCTCTCGGCAAATGCGACCCATGTACTCGTCCCGGGTCGACCAGTCGGCCACGAAACCCGGTGGACAGGTATGCACGCAGGTGCCCTGATGTAGCAAGACCGCGCATCTCGCGCACGTCCCGTCCCTGCATCTCCTGCATCCGGTCTCGGACTCGACGCATTCCACTGCAAATATCAACGTTCATTAGGATCCACTTCGGATTTCGACAAGTACATTTTGAATTATTTTCGAGGTTCCTTGAGGAAATCTCTCAGAGTTTCATCTAAGGCTCCTGCTCTCTCGCCGCGGAGCTCTTAATTGGTGACATCAGAAGCGAGGAAATGCGTGCCCAACATCTCTGTAAGATACGTCGAAATAAGATATATCCAAGAATGACACATGCAATCGACTTTAAGCACGCCTCCAAAATACTCCGCAAACACTTTCCTTTTGTTCTAGTCAATAAATAATCGTAAAATTCACGTAACAAAATAATGGGGAAGTGTAGGTTAAACAGGAAAGTTAGTGTAGGTTAAACACGTCACGTTAATTTTATGGCTAACTGATTGTTAAAGCAATAAGGAAGTGTTCAGAGTATTTGAGAATTATGCTTAATAGACTGCAAATGTCACTTTTTATTTCGACATAATTTGCAAAGATTTTGGGCATGCAGTTCTGACGTTATGAAGATAGCTGGGGTAAGGAACCAAGAGTTTAAAATTTGTGAATGAATATCACGAAAGACTTATCTAAATACTACTTGTCTTCTAGTGAAGTTCCAGTCAAGAAAGCAGAACGATATAGCTGAATGCTTGTAAGAACAACAAATGACGCAATCACGATGCTGATCACGGTGTGGATATCGAAATGTATCAACCAGAGATCGACGGAGAGCTTCGCGCACATCTAGCGCGACTAGATACCGATATCCGCAATGTGTGTCAAACATTTGGGGCCACCGCTCGAGGCTGTGGATCACCGGTCTCGCGACGAGAATTCGATTCGCGCCACCTCGTTCGCTCCTATGGCATTTCACGAGGCGCTCGCGATCCTGCCGGATAGCGCGAATCGTTATTTACACACGGAAAAAAAACTTTGGTTGGATCAACCAAATACCCAGTGAAGTATGAACGAATTGGAAAATTGAAATTACCAGAATTCTGTGTTCAAGTTAATTACTCAGATAGCACAGAGAATTCAAAAAGAATTCAGTATGTCATCAATTCTGAGTTCATTTTTAGATGCAAAAAGAATTTTTCTCACTGACTTTGAAGAATTCTTTTTCTATCTGAAAATAAACTCAGAATTGGTGACATACGATTGAATTCTTTTTGAATTCTCTGTGTTATCTGGGTAAACTCTTAACCATTCTGGAAATCTTGTTTGATTAATCAATTTTATAAACTTGAATTCTGGCAACTTTAATCGAAATTTTCTGACTCGTTCACATTTCATCAGATACTTGGTTAATCCAATCAAATGTTCCGCGCGTACAATGAAACAACTGATACGTAGAGAGTAATTCTTTACAGTAAAAATAAACGCGAAATCAATATCGTCGCGGTGTTCATTTTATGAACAATGGCCATCACTATTTTATCATATATGATAACAAATATCATTGTAAATATATGATGTCACCTGAACATCGCCCGCTAATTATTCCGCATAATTTCGCATGCATTTAAATAATGCGCATACTACCCAAATCGCGTGCGCGAGCTGTTTTTCTCGGAAACTGTAACGAGGACAGCGAATGAGGGTTTCTTTCTGTTCGGGTATGCTTCAGGCTTCATCGAGATCCTTCTCTGCGGGATATATTTATATTCTCGATTAGTGCGTCCTCTTCCTTCTCGCTCGACGGCCAGATACATCACGGAGATTGTGAGCGGGAAGGTAGCTGGACACGGATAGCACTAGAGAAAATCGGAAGACGTGTGCGTGTGCAAGGGAGAGAGATTCTCTCGGTCCGCTGAGGGTTCATTAGTACGTGTATGAGGAATGCGGTTGCTGGTTTCTCGATTATGTGGGTCTATAAACGCTGCGCCGCGTCACAGAGCGGGCCCCGACGGAATACCGCCGGTCACACACATTCTCCAGGTTGAGAACACTAGGTCGAGCCCGTTTCCCCGGTCCGTCGCCGCGGACTGTGTGTTCCGTGAGCCCCGGGGTCGCCTGTTTACTTTGCCGCCGAGATCCTTCGCGGCTCGACTCGTCGATTATTGCACGAGAGAATTCCCGCAGATATCGGGAATATGAGTACCTCCTCGTGGGCGCTTTAACTTTCTACGGCTTCTTCCTTCTCCCGCTTCTTCTCGCTGGTCGCGATTAGCGGTCGGCGCACGCGACCCCTGTGGAAAATATATCGCATCTTCGATTCGTTCGTCGTGCGAGCGACGCACGTACGTACACGTTCTCCCGTAGAAAGTGCCGCGTGGCGTATATCGCAGAAATCGATAAATCACGACTTATATCCTTGTTATTTGTGATCAAGTTCGTTATAGAAAGCGCCCATCGATAATGGGCTCAACAAAATAAAACCTGTTTTTGTCTTAAGTTTTATCAAGCTAGTCTCTTAAGTTCTATCCTTTTCTGACTGATTTTTTAGTGTTGATTATGAATCTAACCATAAAAATGACGTATATAATATTAGATCTTGAGAACTTCAGTCAAAGTTGTTAAACGTTTTCGACACTTTTATGTGAGTTATATCTTTCGATGGCGACGTGCTCCAGAAAGTAGCGACAGCTCAAAATGAAGTTCAAAACTTATATTTCTTGATAAAAATGTCAGAAGTGAAGATTTTCCTGGAAAAAAAGTGGTCGAAACCTAAGAAACACCATGAGGGAATTTATTTTCTACATTGAGAAAACATTTATTAAATATCAAAAAACGTTTGTTTGGATGCAACTGTGAACATGTTTGTTTAAATTAAATTAATTATTTTCTAAAATCACAAAGAAATTTATATTTAAAACTTCTTTATTTAATTTTAGAAAATAATTAATTTAAACAAATATATTCACAGTTGTGTCCAAACGAACGTTGTGAAATTTAATAAATTTTTTTCTTAGTGTATGTAATATAAAGCTTGGACTTCTTTTTATGTAGAAATACGTATAGATCGCTCATTGATTTAAAAAAATGCCGAATTTGCTGATTCATGTATTTTAGAAAATAATTACTTAATTTGAACAAATATGTTCATAGTTGTATTCAAACAAACGTTGTGAAATTTAGTAAATTTTTTTCTTAGTGTATGTAATAAGGCTTAAATCTTTTTCGTTTTATGTAGAAACACTTATAGATCGCTCATTGATGAAACAAAAACTCAAAAATCACAATTTTATTAGTTGGATCATGCATACACTGAGGGAAAAATTACCTTAAAATCAGCAAATATTCCTTTGATGGGTGCCGTTAACATATATTTATTTAAATTTAAATTCTCTTTATTTAAACCAAATATTGTTTACTTAAATCAGGTAGACAATATTTGATTTAAATAAAGAGAATTTAGATTTAAGTAAATATGTTAATGGCACCCATCAAAGAAATATCTGTTGATTTTAAAATAATTTTTCCTTCAGTGTAATTGCATAACTATAGTCAATTGTGTACTATTTAACGGGGCACACTCCAACCAACGTAATTTTGTAAATTCGCCGAGCGGTCAGGAGATAATCTCCGAGGTGAGAGGAAAGTGCGCGCGTCTGCGCGGTCGTTAGCCAGCGGGTAAACACGGAAAACCTCGGGATTAATGCAAAATGCGTGGGCCGCGATAAGAGTGCGGTCCTTGCAATTAAACGACTGAATGAACGGGTCTACTTCGATTTCAGACTCGTCGTGATTATCTCCTCCGTGTAACTTTCCAACGACTCGCCATGAATAATCGAGCTTTCGTAATTCCGATCTGCGCATCAGGGAACGATTAATGGACTCGCCGCGAGTTGACTTTTAATTAGATGACTAAAGGTCGAGGAGAAGCTCGTAGTCGAAGTCCCAACGCGCGCCACGCACGCGACCCGATTTCCCCCGATTTTCCGTCTCTCCCTCTGCATTCATTTTCGCGCTAATATTTCATTCTTTGTTTCTCCTGTGTTCCTCCTGTCCGGAGAAAGAGCCGGGTCGGCGGATATAACGTCTCCGATTCGTTCGCGAGAAAAGCCTCCCGGGTTTCGCAGGCTTAGCTCACAGCGAGTGCTTACGTACGCTCGTTTTCGTTATTAATTAGTGCGATTAAGTAGACCGTTCGTCGCCGTTTGCTTACCGCTTCTGCAGAACAACTCGGCGCTTCCGGAGCAATCCCGCCGCGAAATACATTTATCGTGTGGCGCACGCGTCCCTCCCTCGTGCATATTTCCAAGTATAATTTAACTTACTTTCTATGTAACGCTTCGAGAGATGCTTTCCACACGCCTCTGCACACAGACAGAATTATTTTCTACACTGAGAGAAAAAGCTGAGTTTTAACTAAAAGATACACTGTTCATACAATCTGTCCGATTTTGCGACTTTCCAATCAAACGTCAGCTACCTTTATCTGATGAAATGCAACTTCGTCGAATGTTGATCGGACAAGAAAAGAACGGTTTCTCCGGCTCACCTAAATATCGGAAAGCTAAACAAGGCGTTAGATACGGAAACGAGAATCAGAGCGGAAAAATGCATAAATAATAGAAGTTACAGCGTATATGAGGAATGTACGTGTAATGGAAACAAGCTTAAATTAATATGGTAATGCAGAGGAAATTACGGACAGAAGGAATATATAAGGTGATCATAGAAAATAGAAATACAAGGGATGAGGAAGAAGAAGAAGATATAGAAAATGAAGAGAGAAAGTTTGATTATTAAATGGAATAAGGAAGCAAAATAAAGGTTAGTAGTAAGAGAGAAGTATAGAGTAGAGTAATGAAACTGACAAGATATGAAAGAAAATTAGGGAAAAAGAGGGTGAAGAGGAAATAAAGGGAACAGTGAAGAGAACGGGTAGGAAGTGGGAACATAAAGGGTTTACTCTAATTCTTGTGTTGATTTAACACAAAGCGAATATGCAAACAAGCAACACAAACGACACGTCGAAAATTAACACAAAAATGTCACACTTGGACGCTACTGTGTTGCTTTGGCACTTAGGAACGGTGAGTTATGATCTCAACACAGAATAGTCGGAATAACACACATCATTTAACACACGGTGTGTGAACAATTTAGCGCAGAAGTTCCCACGCCTGAATCGACTTCGACACGAATACAAAATGTTTCTCCGCGGATTTTTCTCGCAGTTGTCTCACGAGCTCTCCCACAAGTTTCAATGAGGAACGTTTCGATGAGAGTTTTCCGCGGATCGATTCGCGTGACAATCATCGCCCGGCCAAATAAGTCGAAGCGGGTTCCGGTCAACTTGATTTTTCGCAGTGTTTTTGTATAATACTGACCCACATTCGCGCCTCGGCGGACCCTCGGAGGGACTCGCCGCTCGTCGACGAGTCTAACGGTGCTCGTAAAAGTCGCCTCCTGAATTATGAAGTTATACAAGTTCGCGCCGGGACGACCCCGCGCCGAGCGCGGCGCACGCAAAAAGAAAACTAGCTTCCAGAGCTAAAAAATAGCTGTGGTAGATAAGATGTGTCACTGAAACAGGGACAGCGAATGTCGATACTAAGCTAAATTTATTCGCGAGAAATATTAGCTGCTAGAAACAAATGACTGTAACAAATGATCGTAGCTGTGCGGCAAACTTCTTTAATATATGCATACGATAAGAAATTTAGGAATAACTGCCATTTTCTTAGTTACTTGAAATAATGTGCATTTTTAATGTCACCTAATATATTTGTATTTCGTAGCGAATGCATTTTAGCTGTCATAGCCAATTCTTAGCAGTGACAGCTAAACGATTAGCCTCTTGACTAATGCTGCAATTCTAAGCAGAATCGTAAGTCTCGTAACTTGTTCTCGTAAAATTCGTCAGAAGTCACGAGTAGATTTATAAGTCTATGCAATATCATATGTCGTACAATCACTTCTAAATATCGTAAATTACATGAAATTATAGATAACCTACGAGTAATTGTACGACATATATAATACACAGACTGCATAGGCTTGTGAATCTACCCATAAGTTCTGACGGATTTTACAAGTTACGAGACTTACGATTCTACTTAGAATTGCGGCATAAGTTTGAATCAGCTACCGCGGTTTAGCTGATGTAACTAAGTCATTTTTTTGCGTGCATGAATCTTCTTTCGGGCACACGAGGCTCGTGTGTCAATCGCCCGTATGCACCCGGCGGTGCACGAGTACAGTTACTCGGGAGACACATGCGACGTGCAGCTGCGACGACGCATCGTCAGCGCCAGTCTCTCTCTCTCTCTCTCTCTCTCTCTCCTCGGTCCGCCGGCGGTCTGTCTGCCTCTCCTCTTCCTCGCCTACGTCCGCGAAATCTCGAAACCTGAATCTTTCCACGTCAGATACGCTTCTCGACGGTGCCACTCCTGCCCGCGATCATTAACGGAAGCGTGTTAATTAGTCTACGTTAATGTTGCCGCAGCTTCTCATCGCCCCTCGCTACCTCGCTGAAATATCAGAGCGTCCCCGTTATTCTAGATTTTCATAATCCACTGGGGAGAACAGCTGACGGACGCGACAGAGAGCTCTGCCGGGGATTATGTCTTCGAGTATGCAGACAGCGAGCTCTGATTCGTTTACGTGAACACGGCAAAATTGGACTGAAACGGAGAGAGAATTGTCGCTCATCGTGCTCTCTTAACGGGACGCTGGAGTTGATAACGAATTCAAACAATATCGATAATGTAGAGACGATCGTCACTAACATAATCACGCTATCCTTTTTGTATTTCTTGTCTATACAGAACTTACATGAATGTGTGTTGCTTTGTTTTACCATGGAAAACCTAACTGTATATGTAGGAATATGTGTAGGAATTTTTCTGCAAAATTTTTCAATATTCTTAAGCTTCCAAATGCAGATGCAAAGGTAGAGCAATGTTCTTCAAAATTTTTCTATTTGAAGCATCCATACTTTCGGTATGTACAAGCTGCGGAACTTTTGGATTAGGCAAATATTATGCTAATTAACAGCTTGAGATTTTACATTAAAAATTTTTTGCTCGTTTTCGTCACAATGCTTCTATTTATTTTTACACATACTTTCGTTGCGTAAAAGCATTTGTAATTCTGTGTAACCAATACGACGTAAACTTTGCAGAAAAATGTCAGTGTTCTGTCGGTAAAGTTTTCAGCTTTAGCATCCCCTTAAAGTGAATCAGTGAATAGTCAGAGATATCAGATATAAGTATAGCACTGAACACTTTCAATGCTATACTTATAACTATAAATCAGTGTATATTCACTGCTTTCAGTGATATTTGACTGATTTATTTTAAGAGAGCGATACGTCGTATAGTGGGATCAAATGAAATTTCATGTTTCAAACAAGACTTTGAAATTTGATTTCGATTCTTTTTCTTTTCTTTTTTTTTTTTTTTCATGAAAGTTTAATGAAATTCAAAACGACTTTGTCGAGTCAGAGA